TTCTGTGACTCTTCAAGCCAGCTATTCTGAGACGTTACTTCCATCGTAAAATGCGCCAAGTGTTCATTTAAATACCTTTAGTAATAATATTAAAATTCGCTCGGAAAACTAATATTGTACCACTACGTAGTGCGATTACATGCGTGAATACATTGTGTTCGTATAGGATTCACTGCGACCTATAGGCCACAAAAGGTTACATCTATATTATGATATCGTACGCACGTGGTAGGCATATACATATGTATAGGAGGTATTTACTTTGTTGATTTAGACTGCAACGAATGTCTTGTAAACGGTTTACGAAACGCGATAGAGTAGGATCGGATGGGGGGGGGTTACTTTTAACAGGTAAAATCTTTTTATAGATTTCGATATTATACTTATTGATATGTATGATTTAAATTAGCTTTGATTGTTTTAAATTGTTCTATAAAATATTGAAAAGATTATATAACTATATTATAATTTAAAAAATGTCTTTGAATCAGATTATAACTTTTATCATTTTAAGAAGTGTTCATTAAGATAATAATTGTGTAATTATTTTAATTTTAATAATATTTACTAAGTTATCGTAAAAATTTTAATGAAATATCTCCTCATTACATTATAATTGTAAAATAAGGTAGATGTTAATTTACAAATTGATATGATATGAAAATGTGTATAATTAATTCCATTATTATTATTTTATTATTATTTCATTAAATGGATATAAATTGTGAAAAAAAAAATGCCAGTAAGTAAATTATATTATACTCGAGTTTAACCTAACCAACTTTTTATCATGATAATAGATACTGGTAGCAATATATATATATTATATATATGTCTTTGGATTTGGGTATATATTAAATACTACCAGTCAGATTAATAAATATATTTCTCTTTAAAGTTTTACTTAAACAGTTGGATATATTTTTATATTAATTTTATACTAGTAGTGGTGATTTTAATTTAACGGTCTTTCAGTTTGTAAAGAACTACATTGGCCTAAACTTTAATAGAGATAATTTCTTACTGCAACCTACAGCTAGTAAATTTTACAAAAGTTTTGGTTCAATTAATCTGTCCCAGTGTGTATTATCCCAATGTATAGTATTGTCAATGAATTTGAATCTTAAAACAAGTTTGTCTTGTTGCATAAAGCCATAAAATGAAATCACAAAAATTAAAACGTGTTTAAATGTAAAAACTTAAATTTTTATCATTTAAAAAAAATAATGATTGTAATAATAAATCTATTTAATGATAATAGAAAATATAATGTATAAAATACATTATAAATAGTTGTTACGATATGAAAGTATAGGTATATAGAATATAGATATTAGCCAAATCAATGTCGTGTAGGTTGTCAACATTCACCAAAATCAATATGTTAAGTGTAATTATTAGGGCTAGGATTCATATGTTATAAAAAATTGTAAAATATGAATTTTATTTACCAAAATATGCAAAAACAAATTTGTATTATTATTTATTATAATTCATAATTTTTTATTACTTATTATTAGCTCATATTATTACATTAAATATTAGTTTAATTAGACGTAACTTACTTGGCACTTTCACTTTGAACTTTCGACATACTGGACACTTATTAAAACCATTCAAATTATTAAGTATAAACGTCTGCACATTTACGCAACACACAATGTACCAATACAATTTTTCTGTGCTATCTCATTGTGTAACAATGTGTAAGTAATTCTACCAGTCGTCCGACCAACAATTAGGTAACAAACGGATATTATCTGACCTAAGATAAAATAGGTAGTATTTATGCTATATATTTACGAAAATTCAACGGATAAACCAAAAACTGTCGGTTTCGTGTTAGTTAAAAATATTGAATTCTAAAAAAATCTATGAATATGCAATTATATGCATTATGTCCAAAATATGCAA